GCATCTATGGCTTCTATGGCAATATGGCATTCTTCAAGTCTTCCAGGAAGCCCATTCCCATCGCAATTTCCTTTGATATTTTGTATAGGCATTCTAAAAAAATACTGCTCAAAACTGGTTCAACTCTCCCGATTTCTTAAGGTCCATCCATCTTAAGGGGTAGATGGACCACTTCAAAATAAAATACATGAGGTCCTCCTTTGCCTATCCAATGATTCGGGAAGTTGTTATTTAAGAACTCTCTTACTATCACCCTGAAATGAGGGGAAGCCCCATCATGTTGAAAGTAAATGCCTCCGACATCAACTCCTGCATCATAAAGCAATACGGGCAAAGTATTATGCAGGAACTCCAAATTCATTTCTCCTGTTAGTACATGTGGTAAGATATGGGTCCAATTAATTGGGCAGCTTTCCCATTACCGTCACTGTATCCATAGACATACAACATGTCTGCATATTCATTATTATTGAATTTATGTGGCATTTTGAGTAAGTGTTAACTATTTATCAACGAATAACGTAACAACACAATACACAGGTACACACTCTTATTTAGTCATCAACTAACGTCAGAATTGAACTGTGACATCAGCCAACTTGAAAATTACAACAATCCTAGTTTTTTGATTTTCTGTTATGTTCGAAGCTATTTCTGTTGAAAACAAAGTTATGACTCTTTTCGGAATGAGCATTGTTCTTTATTTCCATGATAATTATTGTTGTTTCAAATGTATGGCAATAAACAAATGTTACGACAATTTTCTTGCACATACAAGGTGTTTATAGTTAGTCATTGATAATAATAATGTGCCCCAAATACGGACCTGTCCTCTCGTTTTCCAATCAGGTTGGGATCCAAAAATTAGGAGAGTGAGAAATAGTTGATGATTTCATGGTTTGAAAATGGAAAAGTACCATTTTGGGACGATAATAATTTTTTTTTTCAATTTTGTGTCACCTCATTATCGAAACATCTAGATTTGACTCAAGTTAATAGGTATAAAAGTTGTATGCGGAAACACAAAATATATTCAGCCTGACTTATTTTTTCCTGCTCTTTTCAAATTTGTGAATGAAAGTTCAAAATATTGATATACAGGGTGTTGTTTCGACTCAAAACCTACTTATTAATTTTTTTAAGGCCGGACCTGGAATGAGACTTCATCTCATTATGTCAATCGACACATCTCTGGACAAAGAACATGTCCACCAAATATCACAAAAATGTATAGGGTGGTTCATAAGTTATGATTAATTGAAAAATATTAGAAAATTGATAAATCACCCTGTATCTCAGCTACGAAGAATGATAGACCCATGAAATATGTATTATTTAGAAGCACCTCGGTGTCCTCCGTCTACCCTTACTCTATGCGCATTTCCCAATGAATCACCCTGTATTAGGTCAGAATCACAATAAAAAAATTTGGGTTAGAAATACTGTCTCAAGGTTAATCGAGGAAGTGATATATTCATTTTACTTGTGTTTTTGGAATTTTCTCTCGTTTCTATGAAATTAAAATATTCGTATTATTTCAATATATTTGTAGTGATGGGACAAATCAGATGATTTGCCCCAAAATGTCACTGCGTTTAACAAATTTTTTTATCAGGGAGCCTAAAAGAAAAATCCAGTAGCTTGTCAGTGACAATTTGTTTGAGAAAATGTTTGAAGGAAAGAAATATAGATATATTGAGAGAAAATATCGAATCTTTACTTATCTTTGGACGTTTCGGGACCGAATCTGCTCCCGTTCTCAACATAAAAGTGCAAAATATTCCTTGGAAGTTGTGCTGCTTATAGTTTGCCGGTTTTCAGTGTCATACTGATGTTGGCATATGAATGAGTGATTTCAGTCTACAAATGAGTTACAGGATATTTCCATTAATTGATCTTGAATCTACCATTTTCATGTTCATGTTTTCAGTAGTGAATACCTACCATGTTCTATCTATATATCAACTTGTTTGTTTTAGTAAAAAAATAATACTTACATTATTCACGCCTTCTAATTAACGGACTATTATATTGAATGGATTAAGTAGGTATTTTATTTCGTAGAAAGAGATTTATCGCATATTTTTCAATTCAGCATTTTTCGGATTTTTTCATGTCCATAATATATCTGGGAATATTCATTTTCTAAACATTCATTTCCAGGCAAAATTGATTCAAATAGTTATAATTTCTGGCCGTATAGGCACCTACTATATACCTACCTATACCTATACTGTGAACATAATATAGTTAAGGTACATCAATCGGAAGAGATGATTGTTGGTATACTATCAGTCTATCCATGCGTTGACATTATTTAAAAAGATACATATAGGAAAACGGAGGATACTTTTTCATTGCCACATTTTAAGCCCAAAACAGCGTTGAATGATTTTCCGTACGACGTTTCGTTTCGGAGAAACCATCATCAACTTCACCCCATGATAGACATCCGTATCTTGGACACACAGTATATTATTCATATGAGTTATTTGTCATCAGTCCACATTCTTCTGCATTTTTTGCCCTTTCTCATCAAGCTCATGAACTTGAGGCTTTATCATGTATAATAAAATACTACCACTCGGAAATACCAACTCCATAGAGTTTTATTTCTCCTTTATTGTTTATTGCATAGTGCGTTAATTTGAATATGAGATTTATGTGTTTTCGTGATGTCGGACATTTGAATTTATGACTACAATAGCTTGTAATACAAAACGTAATTAACACGCGCGCGATACATCTATTGTGAGATGTTCTCTACAATTATAGAATAATTAGGGTAATCTGATCTGGTGTTAATCCACTTCATGAACCTATATGGAAGTACAGGCACAGGACCAATATACGAATGACCAAAACATTAAGCTCAAGCTGAGTTCATTGCTATATTACTGGTCGATTACTGCGAACATTCCACAAAATTTCAAGGTTCGAATTATAATGTGAGGATTCTTGAACTCATCATACGTGCCTAACAAATCCAGATTTCGCTGATGAGACTGAAGTTATTCATTTAATTTATACATGTTGAGGTATATGCATGTAATGCCATAGATTTTTTTGATATACAGATCAAATTTAAAGAGCTTCTATTTGTGAATATCTCTTGATCCCCTTATCAGTTATGTATATTTATGCTAAGTACAGTTCTATTTTGTTTTCATTTCAATCGATTCCTCGGATGATTCAAAAGCACAAATGATGAAGCTTATGTTTTTGAGGATATTCTCTTCAAGTATATTGAGGAAGATTGTGTACAGGGTGTTTATAAAAATCCAATCCAGTAAGAAAATGTCGTAACGGCATCCGTTTTCAAGATACAAGGTGTTGAAAAAATGTTTTTTACACATTTTTTACGATTATGTCGAATCTAATGGCAACAATGTGATGATATTTTGTATGGATGTGATTTGGAAGCTGACACATTGCATGAATTTTCTTTATATCTGACTCTCATAGAGGGCGCTAGTTACACGGTTCGTACCGAGTAGTTTTGAACATAATTTTTTTGAGGTTAGATGTTTCAATGCGGATTTCATGTGAACTTGCACAATTCAACATCAAAAAGGTACACTTGACGAAACTCAATACTGTGTACCGTTCTCGCAATGTTTTCATGTGAGAATAATGGGGTAATATACCGGGTGTCCCAGTATACCTGTTCCAATAGATTATCTCAGCCATTTCGACAGATGGAAATTCTGACATTACCTACATGATCTACTACAGCTCTAATAATTAGAAATTATTATTAAAGTCGAAATTACAAAAATATCGTAGCCTACTGCAATTCGTTCAATTTGAAATTTCAATTGTCGTTTTCTCCATCAAATCAAATTCATACGAGGTGTGATACATCGTTGGAACGGTAATTTTGAGTAAAACTCATGAATTTCAAAAAATATACAGGGTGCTATATAAAATAAAAAAGTTAGAATCACTTCCGGCCAAACCGGAAGTGACTTTCAATTTTTGTTTTCCTCAGTTGAAGCTTCCTTGAACGAATTGGAGATCATGGAATTTTCGAATTTCCATTTCTCGAAATGACTTGAGATAATTAATTGGAACAGGTATATTGGGACACCCGGTATATAGCTGTTGTTGGTATAAAATAAATTTTATTGAGATCAACTACCTATACCGTATCAGTATCCTACTTAATCATGTTGAACTTTGAAGACTGTGCTATTTTTTTGTAAAATAATTGGATTCTGAATCAAGAGGTCAATGAGTAGGTATATTTCAGAAAATAACAATAAAACATCTGTCAAATTGGATGCGCAGTCGTAAAAAGTATATAAGTAGGTAACTTTATTCGTTTTTACCAGCTTCTCTTAAATATCAAAATGATCTACAAAATTTTGACATACCTACAGAGTGTTGTCTATGGTGTTGTTTATGAAATAGAAGAAGTTTTCTGTTTTTCCTCAAGACGGACCTGGATTCTGATCTTGATTTTAATTTAATTTTGAAGGGTATAATATTAGTGATATATCTCTACCAAGTATGGATAGGTTATACAAACTGGTTCAAAAGTGATGAACAGATGAAGATCTTGCCAAAATCAAGATAACGGATATATATCAGTGTGAGCATCAGAGAAGAAGTAGGAAGGTGTATGTAGGTGGATGTGGAAAACTACCAACTGAGCTTGAGAGCGGGCCAGCTGCTTAGTGGAACTCGGTCTCTAACGGAGGTTAACAAGGATAGCTAGCCAGGACTGCCACTACGGCATATGGTAGTGAGTACATTACTATAGCCTACAAAACACAGCCGAAAAAAACTCTGAAAGAGAGCTGATGGGCGGTGCCTGAAAAGGATGTAAACCAGCTCTCTTAAGCGAAACCACATCAGTCATTGAAAACACCTTGGGATTTGTAAAAAGGTCCCATTAGAGGCTAGTTGCTGACGTGCAAACGTCCCCCACCAGTACCAGTACCAGTACAGTGGGTAGTATTTTAAATTTCCAATTTCTCATTCAGAACGAAACTCACCATAAGGCGACGTCCTCTGGAACGACGCCCCGTCGTAAGGCCGCCACCCGCCCATCATCATGTTCTGGGCGTAGAACTGGCCGCCCAGCCCGTGGGCGGACTGGGCGGCAATGTCGCCGTACCCGCCCCCCGCGTGCCAGCCGGCCTGGTGGGCGGGGAAGTGCCCGCCCGCGGGAGGCGCGTACTGGGGCACCGCCCTGTTGCTGGGCACGTACACGGGAGCCTGCTGCAAGTGTTGGTGGTGGAAGCCGGCGTTGGAGTCGTGGTAGGCGGTGGCGTTGGAGGAGTGGAACATCTTGGGGGGCGTGAGGTGCTATTTGGCAGTCATCTGGAAATAAGAAGATTTATGTTAGCAGTGGAAGAGCCCATCAAAAAATTATTTAGGTAGGTATGCTTGAATTATTTTCAATCCACCAGATACATAATCATTTGATAAAAGCAGCTTGTTCAAATCAAAAGAATGTTGTTTAATTGAATTAACAGTATAGGTAATATCAATTTCGTCTACGTAATAAGTATATGGTTATCTCAAAGACAAATTATGTTGATCCAAAAAAATATGTCGATGTTGATTCAACTATATTAAATTTGTAGATTTGATGAAATGATCATTTTGATAAGAACATATCTTTAAATCAACAAACATATCACGTTATATTATTCCGATGTATAGTAATGAACTCGTTTCGAACGGATCATTCGCATGAATAGAGCAATTAGATACATAATATCAATGAAATATCTCGTTCATTCAACATCAAGTTGAATTTTCGCCACTAGTTGGCGATCTTTTCGCCTCATCTTCAGCCTCAAATTCATGATGTGTATATACATGAATCCTCATTCTCCGTGTTTGATATATCATCAACTGGATAAACCAAGTCGACTAATTTCCTAGTTAGGTTTTTTGTTCAATTGATGTGAAATTTCAAAAAAATTCCCGAATTGGTACAACAGAACAATTTGTTGAATTGGAATACAGTTTCTCTTGAATCAACGTAATATTTCATTGAATCAACGAAATATTCCATTGAATCAACTAAATATTTGAATAGAACAAAATGATTATTTAAACCAATTCAATATCTCTTCATGAACAATTCATGGATATGTTTGATTGAATGCGGGATCCAGAGTTCATGCAAGGCATGCCTACTTGATTCAAACTTGAAATTCGCTTCGAAATAAGATAAAGTTTTACTCATTTCAAGCAGGGACGCGCCTATACAGTGGCAACCCTCAGGGGCGGCCAATCACGAGATACTAAATAATTCGTTATCTTGAACATAATATTACTCTGTACACTATGAAAACCCTCGTAATAAAATGTCAATCTCATTCAGTAAATCAATAACGACTCGACACTCAATGATAGTAGAAAAATAAGAACAAACGACCTCTATTACGCTGATGGCCCACAGGAGTCAGGACGATAAAGGCACGATTTTCCGCGATATACTACCATCGAGTATTGAATGTCGTCGCAGGGTTTTTCAGCCATTCAATTATATGAAAATTTGGTCTTTTCGATTCATCTGTTCCATAGTGATATGGCATGAAATTTTGTTTAAAATCAACATCTGTTGTTGAGATTTGTTTGCTGCATTCAGATCCGATTCTATGTTGAAAGATTCTCGGACAATAGCTGATGATTCAGATATCGAAACAGACTTTCCAGAACCTTCTAGAAGGAGAAAGAGACCAGAATTGTGTAATTATGAGGGAGATGATGATTATCAGATTGACTACCAACAACACCAATTAAAAATAATTTTTTTATGCCATCACCGACCAAATAATACATGTTCTCTCAATGGACGATTCGAGTCTCTCAACAATGATAATGAATGTTTTGGATTTCTTCATTTAGCTTTTGGTAAGGACTTTGATGAAACAAGTTTACTCGGAAGTTGTGAAAATTTGCAAGAAAGTTAACAAATGAAAATCGCCAGCAAGCAGCTATAGACGGAACAGATTCCTTTAATGAGTTGAAATCATTGAGAGTGATTCATCATGGAAATGATCCACAACAAATTCCGAAGTATATATACATGAGAACAACTTAATGAGCAGCTTTTCAAATATTTCAGTCGTTCTCCGAAATTTATTAACTTTACCGGTGTCAGTTGCTAGTGGAGAAAGGTCATTTTCTGAGTTGGAGATAATGAAATGAGCCAGGAAAGAGTGATTGACCTTGCTTCAATATCCATCGAATCTGAATTATCAGAAACAATTGATGTTGACGTGCTCATCAAAGAATTTGCTCAGCAGAAATCGAGGAAAATAATATTTTTTTGATGATTTTCACTGTGATATTATCGCCCCTCCATGTGTTATTTTCAAAGTATTACCTGAACCTCATATTTTAATGAATCAATGTTAATTTTGTATGAATTCTACTATTTGTAAATTATTTGTTATGTTACTTATGTTTATTTATGTTATGTTCCGTGAATGAAATCATCTCTTGAGACATCTCAAAACGAGTTAAATATATTATCCAGTTGTCAAAATATATCAGTTTTCAAAATTCGTTTTATTTTAAATTTTTTCAAGGGCGGCCCAGAACATATTGCACACGGGCGGCGAAGTATCTAGGCGCGCCCCTGATTTCAAGATTATATTGTGTCGTGCATTCATAATATTATGACCCGTCGATATGAAGAGCCAATAGCCCCCATTGATAACAATGGACAATAATGTGAATAGAAAAGCTTTATACATTATACAGGATGCTCAAATTTCACTATAGTGGCTTTACGACTGAAAATAAGAATAAAAGTTTCAATAAACATTAGTCGAATAATTGCTTCTAAGGAGCTATATACGACCCACTTATAAAGGGGGCCTCTGAAGATGATATTTTTATTCCTGAATGTTTCCGAAACCCCATGAGATAAGATAATGCAATTCGCTACAAGAACTGAACATTCTATGATCAATGCAGTGGAAATATAATTATTCCAAAATTTTATTCAGGAGGGTGAAAATACATTAAATATTGCGGAAACTTTTTTGTGTGCATATTTGTTTACAATTTGATCTCGAATTATGAAAATCTACACCTCTTCACGGAAAAAAGATGCTACTGTTCCATATCGATCATCAGATGTATCATTTTGGAGTGAAAAAATTGGTCTAATGGGTCAAACTGTATGAAATACCTATAACTACAGGTTTAAATCACACGATTGTGAAATAAAAGAGAACATAAACCCACAAACCACAAACAGATACGAACTATCAGAAGCAAATTTAGAATTGTCAGATCATTTCCTGCAGAACAAAGTAAACGATATCATATAATGATACGAATGATAATGTTATCAGCAACCACAGCCAATGTAAACATAAAATATATAGTGGTAAATCTGATGTGACCATTCTTCTCACGGAATTGTAAGAAAACAAAAAAATAGTTTTTACAAAACTATTATTCTTTTGACTAAATATTATACGAGTACAAGTAAGAATATATTGTCTTTGAAGATGATGTCATTCAGTTCACTATTTCACTCATTTTATCACCTAACAATATAATATGACGATCAATCGCAAGCCAAAGACAAATTGTACCTATTATCGCGAAAACACTACAGCTGTCTTTCAATTCTGATTGGTCTATATCAGCGTTGGTGTTTTCAACGATGTAACCATCATGGATCGCAAAGAAAAGTTTGATGTCGATGTCAGAAAGAATCACTCTGGTTATTCAGGGTGATTCATTGAGAATGGAAAATCTCTGAACTACAGATAGTCATATTTCATTGCACCAATCTATATGATTCAAAGACGTAATAACTTTCGTATTACCACGATATCTAAGAAATGCGAAGATGTGATTGAATATTTTATGAACAGGGATATCCATCGAAGAGGCCAAACCCTATATAATCACGTTATTTTTCAAGAACATAATAAAAACAATATGCAGAAGTTGAATACCGTGATCAGTCCTTCTCAAGTTCATCATCAGAAGTTTCACTGGGTAATTCCTAACAGTGTGACAAATCAAAAAGAATGAATTTTTAGTTTGTCACACTTTCAAGAATCACCCAGTAAAAAATGCCTCATAACGGCATTCAACTTCCGCATATTGTTTTTTCTCCATGAAAATTGACATACTTAAATAGAGAGGAGGCTTCTTCTATGGATAACCCTGTAGTAATTGTATTATTTCCCAACCCGCGCAACGTTGAGTGATCTGATGTGCCCACCATTACGATAATCCAAACTATGACCCTGTCTGAGATGCTGGTGCCTGAATAAATTTTTTTTATGCTCCCCACGAAAAGGGATATCCTGTAATGTTCAGAGAACATCGTTATAACCAAGGGAAATAAGGTAGGAATTGAAGATCTTCTTAAATTTCTGGAGGATATATGCCTCGGAGAACACCTCCCTTGGCAATGTGTTCCAGAGCCTCACTATTCGCTGAATGAACGAGTCTATGGAAAGAGATGTTCTGCAGGTCTCCAAAGTGACCACGAAGGAGTGCGAAGCCTCAACTCGACTGGTCAATCTCGCGGGGACTGCCAAGGGAGGGACAATTGTTGATATTTCAGAAGAGCATCGTCCATGAAAATATCTATATAATAGAGCAAGATCGCCAACTTTTCTACGGTGTTCCAGAGAAGTAAGTGAGTTTGTGAGACGAATTGCCCTCTTTTGGACATTTTTTGGACAGAATCCAACAGTTTCAGGGTATGTTTGGGTGCTGCACTCCACACTGAGAAAAATGGGTCAAATGATTATTTCATTCAGAAATTTGTATTGATCACTAGCGAAACTATTACTGCCTGTGAAAAATAAAATAACTGGACCAAAATTATTGATTCATTTGGTATCGCTCACCTACCATAAAAGTTTCTAAATTTGAAACAAGCGTCTACTGATTTGCGGTAAAACAATTAAAATAATCATTTTCATCATTTGTAGTGAATTCTCAACGATTTTGTCTCAAATCATGTTATTGATGAAGTGAATAGTAATATCATTTGTTATGAATGAAAATGATTGTTCGTCAGAATAGAAACTGTTTGCAGCCAATCAGATACTTTTCAACTAACAAAACAGCACCAGTTTGAGATTAACGATTTTTCATTGTGCAAAAATGAAAATTAATTGTTCACAACAAAACTACTATAGGTTGGCCAATAACAGTTGATTTGAGAAAAATGCTTTTCTATTCGCCATTAAATTGCGGTCCTTTCGATTCCGCAAATATATCTCTAATTGATAACCAGTTCATTTCTCATTTCCAACAAATGAAAAACCACTTGGCCTCCATGAGCCGAAATCCATTGAGCCGACATCGTTGCCGATTGC